ATATATTTAAAATATTTATTCTGAAAGGACATACACCAAAATGTTAACAATAGTTATTATTATTTTTGATTAGTAGGATTATGGTTAGTTATTTTTCTTTCTGCTTATCTATATTTCTGATTTTTCTACAATGAATAATAGATGATTTGTGCATTAAGTTCCCCCCCCCCAGTGGAAATAAAGGTTGAAAGGGTAAGTGCAAAATGTTTTCTCATCTGTAATTTTGTTCTTCAATGAGCAAAACATATATTCACATAATAGTCGGTTTGAAATGAATAATATGGATATGTAAAGCTCTATACTTAAATTTTAAAAATAAATTATTTTCAAAAAGTCTTTTTAAAAAATAGAGCATAGGGGAAACTAGGCTTGGAAAAAAAATTATTTTTATAAGCCCTGGAGACTATGGTTGACTTATTTAGGCCAACAGAGTAAGTTTGCGGTTGAAAAATCTAGTGCCTAGTTAGGGTATTATGTCAAGAAATACTATGCCCTTATTACTCTGCATGGATTAGAACACAGCTGAAAACATCCATTTAGCTTCTCATTTTAAATGGAACAAACTAAATGGAACAACTAAAGGAGGTCAGCACAGTCAGAGATCACCTAAGGGATGACTGGAAGGACTGGAGATGGTCAGCCTGGAGAGAAGGAACTCACAGGACAGGTGACAGTAGCCTGCAAATATCTGAAAGAATTTTGTGGGAAGAGTGATTGAAGACTAAAATCTGTAAGGAAGCAGATTTTGTTTAGGTCAGCATAAGGGAGCTCTGGTAGCATAGTGGCTAAGGCACTTGACTGCTAACCAGAAGGCTGGCGGTTCAAACCCACCAGCCACTCAGAATGATGATGGGGCAATCTACTTCCGTAGTGATACTGCCTCAGAAACCCAAGGAGTGGTCACTATGAGTCGAGTCTGACTCAGTGGCATGTAACACGTAAGGGAGAACTTTCTGTTAGCAATGGGCCTCTTCACACAGTGGCAGAGACTGGGGAACATCTAATGAGCATCTCAGATTTGAAGTTCTTTCATTGGGAGGAAAGTTGAGTGGCAGAGCTTGAAGGTCTTTCTACCTATGAGACTATGAATTGACAAAAAGAAAAATTGATCTTATTGACAGAAAAGTTGAGAAGGTTAAAGTTGGATCACATGTATTTACCTGCCATTTTCACTTTTGTTGAAAACTTTCAATGTTGGAGGTTTATTTCATTAAGTTGTATTTTGTATTGAGAAGTAGTCTTTGGTCTTCAGTTTCTTTTCTTAATGGGAAGGGGAGCTGTCTAAGCACACAGAATGGTATGTGCTCAAGGAAAGGCTACATGAATAGACCACCAAACTATGTACTTCCTAATGGTTAAGCAAAGATGTCACATTGAAGACTAAGGTGCACCTGACATAAGCCATCCTATCTTCAATTGTCTCATATACATGTGAAAGAGGCAAATGAATAAGGAAGACCAAAGAAGAGTTGATGTCTTTGAATTGTGGTGTTGGAGAGGACTACTGAAAATACTGTGGACTGCCAGAAGAACAAACATAACTGTCCTGAAAAAAGCGCAGCCAGAATGCTCCTTGGAAGCAAGAATGGCCAGACACTGTATCACTTACTGTGGTCATTTTGTCAGGAGGGACTGTTCCCTGGACAAGGATGTCATACTTGGGAAAATGGAGGGTCAGAGAAGAAGGAGAAGACCCTCAATGAGATGAGTTGGCACAGTGGCTGCAATGATGGGCTCAAACATAGCAAGGAGTGTGAGGACGGTGTAGGATTGGGCAGTCCTTTTGTTCTGTTGAACATAGGGTCTCTATGAGTAGGAGCTGACTCAATGATACCTCACAACAGCAGCGGTTAAGAGCATGACTGGGTTCGTATCCTGGCTCTATGCCTTAGTTTCCTTACCTGCAAAGTGGCTTTGATAATAATACCAGCCATAGGGTTATTGTGAGCTTGGGAATATGGACTTCATTATACATTTTACCTATATATTCCTTGAAAGACATAAAACAATTATCCAGTGAATCATTGGTGAATTAATGAGTGAATGAATGAATGAGATTTTAAAAATATTTTACCTGACTTTGCGTATAATGATCTGAGCTTATTGAATGTAGATGTGGTACTTCATACTTTGTAGTAATCTTCTGGATTTCTGTCTGAAGATTTAGAATCATTTATAATTTTTCATTTATTTTGTCATTTTGTTCTTGTATTTTCTTCTAAAATTCTTCTAGGGTTTTTTCTGTGTTTTCTTTGGTCTGTCTCTCAATCCTTTGAAGATACCTAAAGATAGTTCTTTTGAATTCCTTATCAGAGAGTTCCAATGCTGCTTCTTCCTCAGGGATGTATTCTGGGTCTGTATCCTGCTCCCTTGTTTCT